GGAGCAGCCATGGTGGCTTGTAAGGGCCTAAAAATTGGTCCATTCGGTATTGCCACTGTTATTTGAGGTGCTACTTGATGACGGGTGAAAGAACACTGGATTCTGTCTGGGCCATAGGCATCATGGCGCCCACTCAAAGCATGCAAGAATCGAAGAAGATGCATTTGCGGAGCAAGGAATGTCTACGAAACTTCAACTTGTTATTGTATGCGTTTTCCTCGAAGTGCAAGGTGGATGCCCCTTCCAGCCTGGCACTTGAAGCTGGCTCAACAGCCCTGAAGCTTTGCACAGCATGTTTGACCTTGACAAAAAAATATTGATGCTGAGGCTTGGTTTGCATTCTTGGTGTGGAGCATCGGAGTCCAAAGAATTTTGTGTCTTGACAAAGAGTTTCAAGATCCGAATTTTCTCAGGATTCTCATGACCGAGAACATGTTGTAGAACACAAATCAGAGGATTGCAACATGATACTTGCCAACTCTTGAAATGGAGTTGTGCGGAACGCTGCAAGAATGGACATTGCTCGCATTTTTTGTCTTAAAGTAGACATCGCAGATTGCTGCCTGCATTATGCATGCTGCCACTAAGACTCGTCTACTAGACCCGCTGGCACTGCAACTGTTTGCTGCACAGCTGTTGAAAGAATGTCAACGTTCTGGTTTGTGTTTGTCAAATTTGAAGGGAACGTGTGAGCTGGTATCACTCTGAGGTCAGAAGCGTACGAGTATGTCCGCAGCTTTGGATTCAAAGCAAATTGACGAGAATGCAGAATGATGTGTGATGAGATCAGGCGTTGCGGTGTGGCAATTACCACGCATTGTGCCCTACGATTCAGCCTTTCAAGCTTGCTCATGTGTCAACCTTGGAGGGGATTGAAGCTGCTGGTGGATGCAATCGCCATTTTGCCTCATCATCCACATTGCAAATCCAGTCCTTGCGAGGCAATGCTACTTGCAGATATGGGGCTAATCGAAAAAGCACGACGCTACATGGTGTTGCTCCAGGCAGGGTGAGTGGACACGCCCCCGTAATTCTGTGTGATGTCACTACGCGAGGCATTTGTGAAAGCAGTCCCTCAGAATCGCCTCTCTGACGTCAAGACCTCTCTGAACAATGGTGGATGAACAGATGTGACGATCTCGCTGAGGCCTTCCGCTCCTCGATGCGTGAGTTCAACGAGGTGACCTTCAAACAGCGTGTGACGGCTTTTCAACATGCCAACCATTTGCGTGTGAGTTTGTATTGGTAGCAGGTGCTAAACCCGAGCGCCTCAGGCCATGCACAGTCTTAACACACTTGGTATGGTAATTGGATTAATTTTAATGTAGGCCCACAAGCAGCTCCAGAAGCACCTAAAGTTGGCAAAATGGTCAAGGACAAAGCTCTGATGACAAGGAGTGCCTGACTTTGACAAACGCCATCACTGTTGTGGCTCAGGACATGTTCCGGAACTTTGCCGAGACCACAGGCTTCGCTGTGAAGCCAATTGCGCCACCAGCACTGCCAGCTGAGGATGAGCGTGGAGCTGTGCTTTTAATCATGGTTCGAGAGTGAAACGAGCAAACCCTGGGACTTGCCGAATGTTTCTGAGGCCAGAAGCTTCGTCGCAAGCTGCTCAGCCACTACTGAACAATGCGTTTCAGCCACAGCCCATACCACAAGTACAATCACAGCTGTCCCAGCCACAAGGCTTCCCAACCTTCCAACCTCAGCAAAGTGTGCAGACCTTCCAACCTGAACACCCCCAACAACCCCAGCATCAGTCGCCGGCACCCCAAGCGTTGCAAGCGCCATCAGTGCCGCAAGCGCCTCAAGCCCCCATTCCAACACCGCCATTTCCAGCTGGTACAACCTCAAGTCTATTTCCAAGCCAGTCCACCACCGGTGACATTTCAGGTGGGGTCTCTCATGCAAGGTTTGCTGTGGCACATCTCAATGAGTTGACGGTGAAGGTGGTATCTAATTGTGTGCCATGTGTTCCAGCTCGAACCAGCAGGTTCTGCGCCCAGCGGTTCCATACCCAGACGGAATACATTGTGAGACTTCCTGTGTAGTACAACGACTGTTTCTAAGGTCCCAGTTCAGGTGTGTTTGGCGGCCCGCAAGGACCTTACATTGTAGACCAATCAGTGTAGATTCATTTCCTCGGTAATTATCAGCGCTCAGGTTGAGCTACGACTCTCATTCAGCTGGTGTGAGCACAACTGGCGGAGGGTTCGGTAGCGGACCGGGCCCAGGAACATATGCTCAGGCAATCCTGACTCAATACTCTGTTGGACCATACCTGCGCTGCTATCCTTTCACCAGGCTCAGTATGTGTCACCATTTCCTCAGCAAAACTTGTCGATGGTGGGTCAAGGCCTCAGGATTCTCGCGTCATCTTGCATGACAGTGTCATGCAAACCCAGGCCAAGGCATGGGAAATGCGGCTACCCCAGCACTGCGAGTGGCACCTTTGGGTATTTTTTCGGATTGTAAATGGCGTTTCGTTTCAACTAGTAACTAGAATAAAGCGAGGCCTATCAGGACGAACCTGGTGAAACACAGGCGCGGACACGTTCAGGTATTTTGCCCAGTTTTGTACGACATATATAGCCCTCGGAAATCAGAACAGAAGGTGGATGGCCTCCAGCCTAGAAGGGACGGCCTCTAACCTAGAAGCAATGGCCTCCAAGCTAGAAGCGATGGCCCCCAAACTAGAAGCGATGGCCTCCCAGAGTCGTTGGTTTCTTCTCATGGAACTACAAGAATTCTTTGCCGCTTTGAAAGGACCGGCAAAAGCATCCGGACCGGATGGACTTCAGTGAGACTGTGGAGAATGATCCCTTTGTCAATGCTGGCAAGGTACTCGTTTTGCTTGCTTGTTTTGATCGCTTCAAGCGGACCTTTTTGCCTTGTAGCGCAGGCAGTTCTTGGGTTTGGCAAGTCTTTGTTTTCTGCAGGGAACTCAGGAAGGAAGGCAACTTCGGAGCACAACCAACACTGATGAATTGAGGCCATGAAAGGGGCAGCAGATGGCAGAAGTGATGATAGAAATCCTCAAGAGGATGCCAACTGTGAAAGCACCGGTGAGTCCGACGGTCCATGAGAAGCCTCTCATTCGATGCTCAGGAGCAAAAGCCCAGGGGCTTCTACTACAACGCCGAAAAGGGTCGTTGGATGGAACATGGAGTGGAGGAGACGAGTCGCTGTGGCACTGTCACGCGCAATGTAAAACCCGCTTTGTTTGAGGAGAAGGATCAGGAGGATGTCTCGGAGTATGATCCCATGACTGGCAAAAAGATCACCAAGGTGGCTTTTTGACTATCCATCGATTCTGTCACACTTGAAAACTGAAGTTTATGCTATGAACATGATGCATTGCATGTCAGGTTCCAGATATGCCACCGCCACCCATGGGCGGACCCCCACCCATGGGTGGACCTCCACCCATGGGTGGACCTCCACCCATGGGCGGACCTCCGCCACCCATGGGTGGACCTCCGCCACCCATGGGTGGACCTCCGCCAATGGGCGGACCACCAATGGGAGGTAGTATGGGTGGCGCACCGATGAACGGCTTTGGAGGCAGAAGAGAAGGTTTCAAGTGGTGCATGGGTGGCTTTCGCATTAGTTGCAGGTAATCCATACTCGGCAGCTGGATTGGGTAGGAATGCTCCGGCATCATCACTGTATGCTGTGCTGGCCAGCTTGGTGTTTAGTGCAGAATGCTCATCAATCATTGCGCTGCATTATGGCCCTTTGGCCAGGTCAATCCAATGGCAAATGCCATGGGCGGACCTTCACCACCAGCAGGTGCACGCTCTTGTTGACTTGTATCAGTACCACCTCGGTCAATAGAAGTTGTGGAAGAGCGAGGCAATCTAGTCCTGTGCAAGAAGTAACACAGCTCACAAGCAGAAGAAAGCTGTGACTCCAAGGGTTTCACACACACACACACATGCCACTCCGCTTGGCCACATGTCATTTTGCAGCACTCAGTTTGCTGCTGAAGTGAAGTTCTGTGCGACATCACTTATTCAGTCCTTCGTGCACGCAGACCTAGCGAAGCCGAACAACTCAAGCAATTAGAGTGAACTCCCGTTCTCAAAGAAACTTTTGCCTTGAGTGACAACAGGTCAGACGATATACCTACTTTGAGAAGCCACATCGGGCCAATTGGTAGGTTCCAATTGAACATCGATCTAGTCCCATCTCATTTTTGCTTCCCAAACAGATGTGGCTACTCCAAGGGCAAACAACCAGTGCACTTGTGTTTTCACCCCTCACTTAATAAATGGACACACATGCAAGGCAGGCCTTGAAGTGAGTAGCTGATTTTCGATAAAGACCAACTTGGCACCTGTGTGTAATTGTGCATCTGATCGGGGTTAGACATACTCTTCAACTGAGGTGGCAGTGTGTGGGGGGCACTCAGAGCTCAGGGAAAGAGGGAGAGAGAGAGAGAGAGAGTGAGAGAGGGCGAGGAAGAACAAGAGAGAGAAAGAGGGCGAGAGGAGGGAGAGAGAGAGAGAGAGAGAGGGAGAGAGAGAGAGATAGACAGACCAGATGAGATGCGATGAGATAAGATGAGATAGGATTAGCTACAATCAGATAGGACTAGATAGGATTAGATAGAATGAGATGGAATTAGATAGATTCAGATAGATAGACAGATGGATAGGTATGCATGAATACAATTCGTAGAGATACTGTTGATGTTCAATTATGCCGCTAGTGGTAGCTAGCCATTCAAGTACTCAGACAACCACCCAGGTCCAACGCCGGATATCCTGGTCCCTGTGGCGCCGCAGCCCTACTACACATCGAAACCAAGCACATTTTTGAGGAAGGTTATATAATTACGTTTATTTGTTTTGGCTGCTCCCTGGACAAATGTGCTAATTTATGTTCAGCTTGCCATGTGGCACTGAAAATGGCTCTGGAGTGGAATCTTCTTGATTCATGAGGTTCCACCGCAGGCACCCTTGGCACCCTTCAACAATCAGGCGGCAACGGTTTTCCACGAAAGATCTTTACGAGAAGAAACGATGATATGCATTCATGAACTTCATAATGAACACGCATATAGAAATTTCAAACGCAGGCGGGAATGCCAAGATCGAATCCTTTTGGGTGAAATAGATTACATATGTTGAATGACTCCTTATATTGCGAATTGCTAAAGAATTGACAGCTGCATGCAATTCCAAAAAACACAAATCCCCAAATATCGCAACGATTAAACAACATCGAATATTTTTTTAATTTTTGCTATACAAATTATTTTATTATCGTATTTTAGGACGTCTACAAATGCTATTATAGATTATTTGTTTATTTAGGGAATCTCAACCAAGGTATTCTTAAATGATTCGATTATTTTAACAATATTTTGAATCATTCGGCATATGTGGATTATATGGCTTATGGTTCGAAATAATATATATATATATTATTATTAATATTATGAATTGGGATGCAATCGAACAAATATATGCGGATTTTTAAACCAAAATATTTGAAATAATCGAATTATTTTATTATTTTCGTATTTTCTTAAAATTGTTAATTTTGCTTTCTTTATAATTAATTTACGATTTTTATTACGATGCGGATTGCTTTCTAAATAATTGGATTAATTTATAGATTTTGATTTTTATATATAGAAAAAAAAAATATTTTCGTTTTGGGGTATGTATTACTAAGCAATTCCGTTACGTGTCGACGCGGTCGATCGCGGGATTGAATTTCGTATGATTTATCGTAAATAAGTTTGATTTATTTCGAATTTATTCGTAATGATCGATTTTGGATTTATATTTATTTGTTTAATTTAAGTATTTATCGAACATATTTTGGATGCGTATATTAATATTTTCTATTATAATATTCGAGCGTGTATATAAGGGTAAATTATTTTACTATAATATTTTATTTTTGATACTTTATGTGCGTAATTAGATGTAACACCAATTATATGTACATAACATAATTTATATAGATGTATGTTTTATTGCAGTCATTTGGGTTTAGTTTTGTGGTCATTTTACTACTAGAGCTTACGTTTGATTGAGTTAAAAGTGTACCTAAGCTTTAACTATAAGCTTTGGGATTGTGACCTTACGTTACTGAGTTTACGAGCCTAAATTCTGCGTTCATGGTAGCGGAGCTGCGGTTCTAAGACCCGGTTACGGTCTGCGAATCGAAGGTTGCCGAGCCGCATCGACTCTGGCACCGGAGATCCACAAACAAGCATCACTTGCAGGAAAGCCGGATTGCTTCAATCCCTGGCTAGCAAGTCAACATGACGCAACAGCCAGGAGCACAGGCACAACAACCAGACATGGCACAGCAATTTGCACAGATGATACAAGCCCTAGCACAGGGGCAGAGCCAATTGCAGCGAGCAATGGCAGAAACATACACACACAAAACGGCGATTACAAAGAACATAGTCACCAACGTAGAAGTAAAAGACAGATCAGAATTGAAAGGCACTCCAAAGCCTGACAAGTTCAATGGACACACAGATACCTGGGACTCATGGTATTTCAAGTTCAAGACTTGGATTGAGACAAGTCATAAGAATGCAGGAAAGTGCATTCAGCTCCTCGAAGAGCATCAAGATACAGAGATTAATGAGACATCTCTGGAAGACGATTATCCTGAAGGAGCCGAGCTTGTTTCAGCTCAGGCGCGACAGGCTCTGATCTCACTGTGTGAGGGACAAGCCCTCGAGATTGTCAAGAATACCTCCAGAGGTCAGCACTTTGGCCTAGAGGCATTGAAACGATTGATCACCAAGTATGATCCACAGAACCCACAAGCAAACGCAGCTTTGCTGAAGAAGGTCCTGCACCCACAACAGTGTGCATTGGACAAGCTCAGAGAGAGCATAGAAGCCTGGGAAAACATCAGGCGAAAATACGAAGAGCGAAAGAAGAAAACTCTTGATGATGATATCGCAAGAAATTGTCTTCAACAGATGTGTGACCTCTAGAGTTCAAGACTCATTGACTATGCCATCATGAAATCAGAGATTTTGGCCTACCTCGAGAACATCGAGAGCCGAAGAGAAGCAAAGACTGGATCAACACCAATGGATGTTGATGCACTAGCCGCAGCTGCCAGCCAGATGCAATCTTCACTTGCAAGTCTGGCCAAAGCCAAAGGAAAGGATAAAGGTGGCTCAAAAGGCGGCAAAGGAAAAGGAAAGAGTCAAGATGGAGGCAAGGGAAACGACAAAGGTAAACAGAAGGGAAAAGGTTCCTCATGGTCCAATTTCTCTTCATGGAACACTTCATGGAACAAGAACGATGGGTATAGGAACGATTGGAACAGGAGTAGTTGGTACAACCAAAACTCCAAGGGTAAAGGCAAAGGTGGCAAAGGTAAAGACTCTAAAGGTAAAGGCAAGAGTAAGAGTAAGAAGGTAGCTTCAATTGAGGAGTCTGAAACTTCTATGGCTCAAGAGCACCAACCCGAGCCTGAGTATTCCGCTGACATCGCCACCCTCTTTGCCATCGAGATGGAGAAAGCAGCGCCTGCCGCAATTTCTCGCGGAGCAGCCAAGGCAAAAGCTGAGACTGAAGTCAAGGCAATGCCAAAGAGGCCAGGAGCTGGAAAAGGTCGTCCTGGAATTGCAGCTGCTGGGATTGCAGTCATGAATCAAGCAATCCAAGAGACCATGCAGTCCAACCGTGAACTATATGAGAAGAAGTCTGAGACGATCCAGAAAGCCATTGAAGAGGCCGAGGCTCAAGGCAAAGCAACCAATGACGCCATCTTGGAGCAGCAGGCCGAGATGAAGAGGCTGAAAGAACAATATGAAGAAAAGGAGACAGAAGCCAAGATCTTGCTGAAGAGGCCAACTCCTCGCCGCACCGCTTCGGTTCCGGCGGAGTCGCCAAGGCTATCAGCTGATTTGGCATCAGGCATGGATCCAAGATTGGCCAAGAAGAAGGAGAAGAGCCGTCAGCGCGCCGAGTAGCATCGCGTTGACAAGGCCCAGGATCGTCTTGAATCCTGGCGCGATTATGAGGCCAACTACCCTGAGGAGCTCGACTACTATGAGATCGCTCGTGCCAAGGGTATTGGTCGATTTCAAGCTTGGGATGATGAAGATGATGAGGGAAAATTTGATGAAACCCCTCAGCCTCGAGGTCGAGAAAAGGCCCAGAGGCATCGTGGCTACAAGAAGCCAGGAAAGGCAAAGAAGCCTGATCTCCACTCAAGAGTTGGCAGAGAGATGAAGCGGGAAAGCCAAACATGGACGGCTACTAGCCATCCAGCCCGCAGTGTCATCGACA